GACCTAAAACAGGAAAAGTTTAGTCACATTTAATGTCTGACAGTGAAAAAAAAGGTTATGTCTTTTTATACAGTGTATGTAAACTTCTGGGTTCAACTGTATTGGGAAAACACAGTGTTACATTTACATTTACATTTTTTAGTTTACATTAGCATTTTAATGAAGTCAAATGCTGGCTTTCATTACATTGTTGAGTGAACAGCACTCAATCCCACAGATGGTAAGCCAGTCTTATGACATCATATTTTCATCTAGAAATTTTTTTAGCTGATGTAACCAACAGAGGCAGGAACCAGGTAATAATGATTTAATTTAGTATTTTGTAAAGAAGCACACTACTTTTCACAACAGAGGTTAACTAAGGTACAGCATGTTATGCAACATACTGAGTTTCTCTGTGCTTTCACTTTTGTTTACATTTTACATTATCAGACAGTATCTATTACATCGACACTTCCTGGCTTCCTAACAGGAGACAGAGTTACTGAGTGACTGAAACATATGTGGAACATGAAAGGTCTGTGAACTTTTTGTAATAGTAACAACAAGGTCAGAGTTCTTCTTTTAAAGACAGACTGTCACAATGCCTGCGATAGCAATAGCTGTCTGACTGATGCCCCAGGGTCCAAGTGTCCGTCATTACATCTCAGTCTCCATCAGTTCTTATCGTCTGACTGCTCGTCTACCAGAAGAATTATCACAGTTTTAGCTATAACAAATGAAAAGCCAGTTCAAGGCTTGAAAAATCGCAGAACATCTTGTGCCTTTCTGTAAATTTCCAGTTGCTAGCAACTGGCAATGATTTACTAATGGAGCAATTCAGTGGGTGGAGCTGCCTGGTGTATTTTGTCAGTGAACAACAGCTGAGTAGCTTCAGTGCAGTTAAATGATCTGAGATCACCAAGCTCAAAAGAAGAAATTATAATGTGACAGTATGTAAAAATACTTACGACTGTAGTTGTATTATCCAAAAACAATTACTGAGGCTGAAGTTCACTCAATGTGATGGATGCACTGAGTGTTTTGACTCCTTAATATCATAGCAGCATTGAGTTTTTCTGCAGTTTGACTGACAGTAGCTCTTTTGTGGTATCAGACCACAGTGCCGATGACTCTATCTGGTTCATTGGATGTCCTTCCTTTGAGCAGTATTCGTAGGTTGTAGAACCTACAAATAATGGCCCAAGGAATGACAACTGCATTCCAGAAAAATCCCGCAAGACTTGCTCTTTTGGAAATGCTCTGACCCAGTTGACTAGCCATCACAATTTAGCCCTTGTCAGAGTCGTTCAGACTGTCACAATGCCCATTTTTCCTGCTTGCAACACGTCAGTTTCAAGTACTGACTGCTCATGTGCTGCCGAATATATATCACCCACTGACAGCTGACATTGGAATGAAATGAGATAGTGTCAGTGGTTTTAACGTCGGACTGATCGGTGTACAGGAGTATTTAAATTATTCATGCAACACAAGGAAATATTCAAACTACCAACCAGGCGAAACGTTTGGTTCAATTGACATGTTTGTGTCTAATCGAATGCAACTGGTTTAGGTTAAAAAATAAACAAAAACAAACAAAACCAAAAGAACTGAAAAGTACTATACCCACTCCAAACTCTAAAGTGAATGCGCTGAAGACATTCCATAGAAGCACAACAGGTCAAACTCACCCTCATGCCGAGAACAAGGAAGCCTATCTCCTCCATCAGTGGGTATTTTCTGATCTGCTGTTCTCGTTTCTCCTGTGATGCAAACGGATCGTAGCTCCTCTGGCCCAGCTTCACATCCATGATGCACGGCTTGATGAAGCGCCGAGTCACATCCTCCAGCTTTAGGTACAGGTCTGGGTCAGCAGCACAGATGCATGTGTGATAAAATCAGGTGTGGAATTAATGCTAGTTCATTCACTTCATCTAATTCTTATTATTTGAAATTACATTGTTTCAGATAAAATGAATCTGCAAGAATCCTTCATATACAGTAAATATCACTTAATATTTAAAAGGCTTATTCAGGAGAAGTTAAAGTATTTCATAGTATTTGGATTTTATAGTTGAAACTGAACAAACGAGCAGCTTTTACATACTCGTCCCCTTGAGAGTTCTAGGAGGCTGCACCTATCCTATATCAATCCTTAGCGATGACTCCCATCCTCTACGAGGTGAATTTCAGCTTCTTCCCTCTGGACGGTGGTTTTTAGACCCAAGGTGCAGGACAAAGCATTATAAAATCAGCTTTGTTCCTGTTGCTGTCACTGAGCTCAATAAGAAGTAGTGACATTTGCGCTTTATTTTATTTTATTGTACTTATTTTATTTCTTAGCTCTATCTACCATTGTGACTTCAAAAAAAAATGTTATGTTCATATCCTGATTTTGATCCAAGAGATTATTTTTATTTCCCAAAGTTTTTTTTTTATTGTGTTTTATTTTCATTTATCTTGATTTTATTTATCTTATCTTATCTTTTTACTTCCTTGCTGTTATATTGATGAATGGCAAATAACTGAGCACGTTTTTGTCTCCTGTCTTTTTTGTCTTTTTTTTCTTGTCACTCAATCAAGTACCTGCCTGTCAGGTTCAGTGTGTATTTTGTTAAGGAATGCCAAATGCTACCATTTGTTTTCTGCAAAACAAATCTACCCACGGGTATGAATAAAATAACCTTAACCCTTGAACCTATCCAAGCATGCACAAGGTCAGAAAGGTCACCAGGAGAGCTAGACCAATGTCCTGATAACATGATACATTAGTCAATATCAGATTATTAAGATTAAGTATAGAATAGATGACAGTATAATTCCTGTGGAAGGACCAAAATATGGGCTGACACGATGAATGACTCCGATGAAGAGTAAGAATAACTATCCAAAGCATTTCCAAAGCGACACAAGAGTTTCTAAAGATAAATATGGTTAAAACCATGACCTGGATTAGTATGATGTCTGACATAAATCCAATAGAACCCCTTTAGGATATTGTAAAGAGAAAGGTAGAGCCACACAACTTTTCCAGCAAGGAGCAGCTGGGGAAAAAAAAGTTTCAGAAGAATGGAAGAACATCTCTCCAGAAATCTGCACAACACAGGTAAACTTAATGCAGATAAGGATTGCATCTGTCACCCTAAAATAAAGGTAGACATCTAAAAAATTGGCAAAATAAAAGATTAGAATCTCAGTAATGTACTAACCCATGTTGCATAAAGTTCCTACTGGGGCACTGTCTTTTAATAAAGTAAACACAAACTTAGATGAACATAAATACCCTATTTAACTTAAGAATAAAGCCATAACTCAAAGGTGACACAATTTTGACATCATTTGACATCTATTTGATAATGTACATGGGGTGTACTCACTTCTGCTGTGTACTGTGTTTCAGTAAAGGTTATATATAAACAGTGTGGACACTACAGAGGGAAGTGGCAGTATGTACATTGGTCATTAAAATTGTAATAAAACTAAATAACAACAAAAAAAAGACCTAAGGGATCCTTATCAAGTTTGCTGTATTTATGTAGAAAAATCCAGATTTTTATATTTTACTTTTTATAACTTAACTTGGCCACAAACTCTGACATGGCTCAAACTGTAATTACCAGTTTATCATATGAGCAACATTCATAACTGTCAAGTCAGCACCAGCTTGGTCCTTTGCTGAAACGAGTCTGTATCACCAGGGTGATCTGAGTAAGAGAGAGATGGTTCAGTACAGCTCAGTCCCTTACCATTAGCGCTGTCAGGAGAAGACCAGGTCCCGTAATATTTGGGCAGATAGTTCTGGAGGTCTAGAAGACAAGGATCACAGCAGTCCTCTGCATACACCTAGAAAACACAGACACATACCATACACATCATCTACTTCAGAGGTGTGTAACCTGTCTGGCTGTATATTCAGCAGTGAATTATGCCTACAATGTTAGTTTTGCATCGTCACTGAACAGCTTCTGCTAATATAGCCATTCTTATGACCTGCTGACACTGATTACACTACCTTGGCAGTAGCCACAGTGCAGAACTTTAATGTCACTCTAAGACAATTAGCAATTAAGAGCAATTGCATGTTAAGAGGACAAACTGTACAGTACTTGTATGCCGCATTTTATGTACTGAACATTTTTGAGGACTTTTGATGAAAGCCTAGCATATTGTTTTGATTGAATTCTTTTGTGTGTATATAAATGAGTACTTTGTTATGTGGCCTTGACTAAAAGGTTGTTTGAGTACATGGTATGTTGCTATGTTGTCTCATTTAGCCATGCCTCTCTGTAGAGTGCTGTATTTGCTCTGCTGAATGTTCAGGCTGCACCTCATTATTATTCTGTTATGATGGACGAAAAAAAAAAAAAAAAACTCTGGCTTGTTTGCATTTGTTTAAACCAATCATAATTGCCCTGGGCAGTGCTAAGCCCAGAATGCAACAGTGATGCCCCTTTAAAGTAATGAGATTTGCTTTGGTTGAATATTTGCATGCAAGTAGGTGAGCACTGTATTAAAATGGAAGCCTGTCTTATTGCACGAGTCAAACTCTTGACAAAAACTTTTGGCACGCAGACTGCTGCTTTGAGGTTGTTGTTTCCGATTCCAGCAAAGTGGGTTCTGAAAACAGCAGCATGCACATAGTGGAAAGAGCAAGAAAGCTGCACATAGTCAAAAGGGCAGGGCTATACGGATTACACTCAAAATCTACATTCAGTGAGTCAGACGAATTACTACGTGGCCTTGACTAAAAGGTCATCTCGTTTAAACTACAATTTTGACTTGTACCACATTGAATTATTCAGAAAACTTTGTAATGTTGTCCATCCATCCTTCCATTATCTATACACCACTTAATCCTCACTAGGTTTGTAGGGGGCTGGACTCTATCCCAGCCGACTTAGGGCGAAGGCAGGGGACATCCTGGACAGTCTGTCACACAACACTTAGAGACAGACAACCAAGCACACTCGCATTCACACCTACGAACAATTTAGAATCGCCAATCAACCTCAACATGTTTTTGGACTTGTGGGAGGAAGAACCCAGAGAGAACCCACGATGCACGGGGAGAACATGCAAACTCCACACAGAAGGATCCCGGGTGTCCTCACCGGGACACGAACCGGAGACCTTCCAGCTGCAAGGCAACAGTGCTAACCACCGAGCCACCTTGCAGCCCCTAACTGTTGTGAGTGGGAGTCGAACTCACGACCGCATTAGGGAATTACAGCCCCTGTTTATGGGTCACCTGCTCAACCAGGTGAGCTATAAGGGCTCCCCTGTAATATTGTACAACAAAGAACTTGGAGATATTAATAATCCTCCTGACTTTTTTTTGGTCAGGTTTAGTTTCATGGTCCTCTCAGGAGTTGCCTGAATCACCTAAAAAGAAAAAAAAACATGAGAACTTTGATGGCAAACTACACCCGTGGGCAAAATTGTTGGTACCCCTCAGTTAATGGAAGAAAAACCCACAATGGTCACAGAAATAACTTGAATCTGACAAAAGTAATAATAAATAAAAATTCAATGAAAATTAAGCAATGAAAATCAGACATTGCTTTTGAACC